ACATTAAGATATAGGGCTGCAGCGCATGCGTAGTGTGGCTGCCGTTAATATGTCATTTTCGGAGGTTGATCAATGTTATCTGAAAGTTGTGTGAATGTTACTGCCTAACATTTGGATAAAACGTTCTCAGAATGTTAGGAAAACTTTCCTAAAAAACGTTATTAGAACGTTACTGAATAATTTTCTGCTAACCTAAAAGAAACATTCCCATAACATTCAAGGAACATAACTTTGTTAGCTGGGATAATTAATATACACACTCATAATACAGGAATATAGTAAAATGAATCTAATTTAATATCGATTTATAAATTTCAGTTATGCGAAGATGTGTATTTGTGATCGCAGACACTTGTGAGAAATTTAGCTCGGTTGATTCTGAAAATTCTGTACTGCAGTAATTAAATGGGCTGTAATCTACAGTGCCCTCACTCCCCACGATAACCCCTGCGACATAAGAACTTATCTCCTGAACTTATTATTATGCGGTTATAAAAACACTGGGCTACGCTACATGCCGCAATCGATTTCTTAGAGTGTCGCAAGGTTTTGTTCGTGTGGCGATTCATGCGTTGAGGGAGTTCATGCCCTCGGCTCTAGATGTTTTGGATACCCCGTCTACGTTCAGGAACGGAGCTCATTATTAGAATACGCTCCCATTTACAAGTCTGTCGAAACTGCCATTGCGATAACCGTAGTATTTCAGCGTAATATGAGGGGAAAAAGTGCTGGTCAGGACGACCGGCAGTTTCGTAGAGATGGTTGCCCGAGCAAAAACTTGGTGGCTTCGGGCCTCAATATTCACAGAGTATGGGGTGTCTATATTCAAGCCGGTACGGGAGATCATTTGCATAATATATTCTAGATACCTATAGACACATGTCTTAGCTATACTCTTTGTGAATATTGAGTTTATTGACGCACGATTAGTCAATATATTAGCAAATATATGCGTACCGTCATCTCCCGTACCGGCTTGAATATAAACACCCCCGATAATCTTGCACCGCTACAGATGTGCTGCCCTCCAGCGGCAACTGTTTCTAGCGGCTAACCCCATTGGATAAGCGTGTTTTAGGTTAGGCAGATTCTCGAGTCATTGTGAAATAGAGGTGCAGATCGAGTGTAGACATGGCGGGGTTTTTGGAGGGACAGAGATGTAGTTGAGTGGGGTGGCTGGTGGTGGTCGCGTTGTAATGAAGCGAAGTCATTACGATATTTACATTACGATTACAATGCCGGAGGGATAGTCACGGGTCTTTGGCCACGTCTACTTCAAGGCTAGAGTAGTACGCAGATAAGCAAACCCTTTCTAACTATGGCACAGTGTCGCCCAGCTGGCGTAGTAAAGAACAGATTAACGATGATCATTAGTCCAAGCGAGAGACGTAGAACTGCATATAACAAAGAGGACCTCTCCCGCTCTTGTTGAGAATGGCGACAGTGGTCAAGATGACCACTGGTCTAGACATACTCTTAGGATAATTAACCTACACTGAAAATCCATGGCAATACAAAAACCACGTGACACGGCCAGAATTGTATAAATAGCAAGCTTTTCTAACAGAGAGACAGAACCACCCAGTCGATCTGTGAGTATGTTAGTGGCAAGCGCCTGGTCAGCGCATGACCGTTCTCGTATGTGTATATGTTTCGTAGTTTAGGTATTACCGTATTCGTGTTACAGTATGCGTCTTAAACGTATGTCTTAAAACTCCGTTTAAGACTTGTACTTATATGTGCGTGTGTAAACTCCTTTTATATATCTTGCATTACCGTGATTACGTATGTAACTAATAACTTGTCTCTGTAAATTTGTGTAACAATTAAATAGACATTTGTTTGTACGTTATACTTCCGTGCCTGTCTACTATCTCGTGCCTACCTCAGGGTACACATAAGTGCCCGTACCATAGCAGAACCTGGGCAGGCACGATACGGTCACGAAACTCCTTTTAGAGATATTTTATTAAGTGTTGTAATAACTTTTTCTCTGTACAACTTAACTTCATTACAACGTGAGTAAGCACAAGCGCTTACGCGCGTGTGCACGTTTCTTTGGCTCTCTGTGCAAGATGTGACTACACTGTGTGTCAGATATTAAAGTTTATTCAGGTTACCACACAAGTTTGGATTCCTTCTATATCATATCATTTCAACTCAAACATTAATTCAACGTTACACTAATACATAAATGGTAACGACCTTTTCTTTCGAAAAGATCGCCATTCGCCATAAAAAAAATCTTCGTGCGTCGAAGCGTAAGAAACTTGCGCGCATGTTCGGCGCATTACATCTATCGAATGCAGCTGGTCGATCAAAATCACATGGTGCTATACGAACAACGTGTTGATAATTATGCCGGCGTGGCATGACAGACATCTCGCTATGTAAAACTTCTCCTTCCTTTATACGCATGCGCGTGTCTAGCAGGGTGCATGGCGCATGGGTCATGCGCATGGAATGTGACCTTTACTGTCTATGTGTAAAGAGAGGGGCGTTTGTAATAAGGGGGACGTCTGGCATGCTACAAAAGCTTCATGCGTACAATCACTGTCCGATTCGGGGAAACAAGAGAGAT